CTATTTGAAGGAGATGTTGATGGTAAAAAAATAACTGCAATCAAACTTCTTGAGACTGGTTTTCCTAAAATTAGCATAGTTAATTCCATTGTTCCCATTCTTCGTGCATGGATATGTCTTTTAAAAGCATTGAATTTATTAATTTCAAATAAGTCAGTTGGTTCAGGTTTGGTAACATATTTGCAAATATATTTTGCAAAATTTTTGTCAATTATATATTGAATATTACAGTGTCCTTCCCATAATAATAAAGTTGGTACATGATATGGAACAATCCATTGATCTTCTGGTTTTGTTCGATGATAAGTATATCGTGTATTATTTAAATTATGATATGTAATAGTAGATAAAGGTTGAGGAAAACCATATTTACATTGTTGTCTTAAAGAAGTTGGACTTCTACAATGTTGAAAACTACAGTGATGAATATTATTTTGATAAACTAATTTATATAATTCTGGTTCAATTTCAGAAATTGTAAATCAGCTCTTATTGTATTATTATTAATTAATTGAAGAACAGATTTTTCTAGCCAAGCAACTCCATGCATATGAATAGCACCTCGATTTTGAAATTCATCTCATTCAAAATGATGTAGCCATTTTTTCCAATTGGTAAAATTAGAATTTTTTCATAAATAATGATGTATAGATTTTAAATGATGATGGTAGTATTCATATGTGTGATAAGAGCAGTTTGTAGAAATTGTATTATGATTGTCAGTAATTTGAAGAATTTTTTTTAAATGTTTTCATTTACTTTCAACCATAGTCATTGTATAAAAAATTTGAGGCAATCCAAAATTTTGTACCATAGTATTTACATGATGTTCTTTTTGACACCAATATGTATTTCCAGTTTGAATATATGAAGGTATAGTAGTTGTTTTAATTTCATTAATAATTGGAGTATTAGAATATATACTATTTATAATTAAGTCTGATACAGTTAATAAATATTCTTGATCAGTGATTTTTTGTCTTAAAATATAAGTATGATTTTGATGATTTCATAATTTTTCTAAATTTAAATATGAAATATGTAACCAATACCAATTTAAATGAAAACGTGAATCTGGACATGTATAACATAAACGAATATAACTACCAAAAGTATCAATATTTATTTGATATTCACAAGATAATTGCCAATCTTTAAAATGTCCTTTGTTTAATGAAAATAAATCAGGAAATAAAAGAGCTTCTAAATTTGGATCATTATAAGATATTGGAAGTTCTTTATCAGTAGAATCAGTTAAAAAACCTGCTATTAATCATATAAAATGATAATCTTCATTATGAATTTCATTATCAAAATCTTGATTTTGAATTACTAAATTAGAAGGACCAGAATGTTTTTGAGATGATATTGAGTTATTAGTAATTAAATTAGCAGTAGGTAATGTTAATAGAGATCCTTCTGAATTTTCATGAGTATAATAATGATTATATGTGTGGAAAAGAGAATTATTTTCTCATAACCAATTTGCAGTATTTTGTAAAGTTAAATAATACCATGAATTATTTTTATTATTTAATTTTGCTCCAATTGTACCTGTATATAATGCAAATGTATTAATATTTTTAGAATATTTAAAGGAACCTTGTAAATAATAGTAATTGGCAAAATTATTAGATCCTGAAGTTCTTCCAAAAGAATAACTAAGATAAATAGAAGATAAATAAATTCTATAATATAAAGGTACAGCTTCAATTTCAGCTAGTACTGAATCTAAAGTTGGAGATGAATGACGAGTAGATGGTTTAATACATGAGCAACATATAGCAATTTTTAATGTTGATTGATTTGGATGAAATTACAAAGAAATATTTGAAAATACTTATGTTAGAGGGTATATTGTTTCAAGATTATATAATATCCAGCAAACATCATCAGGATATAATAATTAGGAACAATAACTATATAGTATACAAGGAAATTGATATAAAATTATACTTTCAAAGTAATTTTTTAAATTTATTAATTTTTTAGATATTATTCAAGGTTGAATATTTTGTTGTAATGTAATTTGTGAAGAATATTCTGTTAAGATTCTTTGTGGAGCTTGGAAATGATTTGTGTTTGCTTCAGTTTGTATTATTGTTGCTGATAGAAAAGGATTAAAATTTTCATCTATTTCCATTTCTTGATAAGTTTGATCAAAATTAATAAAAGATAATTGAGAAGACATTTTGGTATTATTATTAATATAAGAGCAAAAATTCAATTATGTAAATTGATTAAAGTATTTATAAGTTTTTTCTTTATTTGATTAAGTATGTATTTTATTTTTATATTAAGTTATTACATTATATCCCTTAAACCATCCGGCGGTCAAATTTGCCTGCTAGAATTATTTTTGATCTACATTTGTACAATTACTCAAGATTTTCTTAAGCTACACCTCCCCATTTCCTATACTAATATGAAAGTATACTACCCTACTGATCATCACATGATCACCTCTAACATTTTTTAAATAATAATTTTTTAAAATTTCTCACGAAAAGTATGTCCTCTAGAACTAGACCGAATGTGCCGCCTTCGAGTTTCTCTTTGAGTTCGTCTTCTTAGAATACAGAAATACATGATGACGATAAGGAAGAATATACAATACTTATAACATCCCACCATCTTATAATATCCCACTAACTTTTGGAAGATCAATTAGATGCTGAGGGCGAAGACGAAGAAGAGAATACTAGAAACGTTCGTAGAGGTAGACGCAGAATAACAACTGTACAACTGTCACCACCACCTAATTTTGAACATTTTGTTCACTCAAGACCACTCCATCAGACATTTGTTAATTTGCCACCCCATCATAAAATTAACTTTTCAAAACCAATTAATCTTTTTTTTCTTTTTTTTACAAATACTTTGTTAAATACGATTGTTATTAATACAAATTTATATACACTAACGAAAGGTGCTGATATTACTGATAAAAAATAGGAAAACATAACTAGCAAAGAACTCATTATTTGAATTGCTCTAGTTATCTATATACGTGTTGCCCAAATCCCAAATTACTAGTATTTGGGATTTGGGATTTGGGATTTCGGCAAAAAATACTAATCATAATTTGGGATTTGGGATTTGGGATTTTGGCATTTGGGATTTTGGCATTTGGATTTTGAATTTGGGTGGCAGGTATAGTTATCTACCAAGGACTTTTTAAGTTGCCATCTCTTGATCAATACTGGAATGAAGATGTGAAGCTCCCCATCCACAATATTTCAAAACAAATGTTATTAAAATGTTTTGAACAAATAAAAAGATTTTTACATATTTCTCCTCCTTCTGCTACCATTAATAATTATTTTGAAAAATTAGAACCTTTGCTCTCAAAAGTGCAAGATGTCTTGAAGCAGCTTTACACTCCACATTCAAATGTTTCAGTTGATGAAATGATGATACGTTTTTCCGGAAGAAGCATCCATATCGTTCGAATAAAAAATAAACTGACTCCAGAAGGTTTCAAGGTTTTATCACTATGTGAATCTGGATATGCATATACTTTTCTACCAACTTTGCATATTTCTTCTTGTGACGTTGTCACCAGTGGTTCCTGGTTTCCTCAAGAACCACTTAAGTAGAGTGACTTAACGGTTCTTTTAAGGAGTTTATAGTTCTTTCCCGAAGGTAAGACTGTTGTTTCATTATTTTAGAAGGCACCACTGATTCAGTTATTTTAGAAAGGGAATCAGA